ACTAAACTACTCTATACTATTATAATAAAGCGTAAACACACACTTCTTTGTTGCCTAAGATGTCAGCAATTACAGCATATTTTTGAATAATTCCTGTTCTAATAAAAAGCCTTACGTCACGCTTTAGGCTATATATTTTCACGCCATCAAACTCGAGGGTACTTATTTGGATAAAAACTTAATGTGGGAAAGAGACCATAAGTTATTGCCAACATCAAGGAAGCAAAGTAAGGTAATTGGTATTTTGACAAATGCAAACAATAAATTTATAATTTCATGCGGATTAAGCCGCACGCGAAAAGCTAGTCTTTTAGAAACCTGATACTTTTAAAAATGTATCCCATTCGTTACTCCAGAATTTCATATTTTCAGACAACTTATTTAATTGATACTGTCGCTTTAAACTCAGAGTAACACTTCTCGTCAGGACTCAGGTTGCGCGCCAATATCCATACTTCTAGTGACATTGACAGCTGTCAGCTGTCAGCTAGGGACGTGACGTTTATGCCGATAATATAGAGTAGCGCTAATTCTACAGCACGGTACTAGTTTTGTTCTTAACAATATCTATAAAATTTCAATATGATGAACCATTGCAGAATTACAAAGATATTCAAATATATTGACTTTAAACAGTTTTTACGTAATCTCACTACCGCCATCTATTACTAGCTTTTGCCCGCGAGTTCGTCTGCGTGGAATTAAAAAAAAACGAAACTGAGAAGCCTATGTGTTCTTCCAGACTATCCTCTACGTCTATATCAAATTTCATCAAGATCCGTTCAGTCGTTTAGGCTACAAACTCTAACAAACATCCATCTAAACTTTCACACTCATAAGTGAGTAAGAAATAAAGTGCCAAAGTTTGGACTAATTCAACTAACTACACGATGTCGCTTCAAGCCAGCACTGGAATAGAACTGTCTCCCGCACGTCTCGCAGTTGTAGATTTTCTCCCGCGTGTGTAAGTTTTGATGCATCGCTATACTGCCCGGCTGAAAACATACATCACAAATATTAATTAAAAATTACGATCTATCCCACCGCTGGCTGATAGAGGATCAGATAGCTTAAAATGTCGTCACTGTCAGATAAGGGAACAAAATCCGATATTTCCATCACATTACACGTCAGATTGTTATCAGACAATTTACAATTTGGTGGGACAGGCCCTTAACAATCCTAAAACACAATATTCTATTTTTCTAATAACAGTTTAGGAAGGAATAAGTAATTTGGAGAAAATAGCAAAGAAACAAAATCAGCCAATAGCAAAGAAGGAAGATTGCCATGGTAACGGTAATTGTTATCAAATGTCAATGACCTTCGTTGTCATTTGTGCGTTTGATTTTTGATTTGAAATTAAAAATTTGACAACGGTCAAATAAAATAAAGTTTTCTTTATCTTCACGCGAACGAAGTCGCAAGCAACTACAACACATATAATATAGCCTTTGTTACTCACAGATATGTTACCTTACTAACGGTGAAAGAATTTTTGAAATCACCCAGTAGTTTTTTAATTTCAATACATACAAAAATGCTAATCTTTCCTCTTTATAATCTATACTATTATAATAAAGCGTAAACACACACTTCTTTGTTGCCTAAGATGTCAGCAATTACAGCATATTTTTGAATAATTCTTTTTTTAATAAAAAGCCCTACACTTGCGTCACGCTTTAGACTATATATTTTCACGCCATTAAACTTTGGGAGTAAATATTTTGGATAAAAACTATAATGTGGGAAAGGGACCATAAGTTGCTGCCAACATCAAGAAAGAAAGATTGTCAATGTTTGTCATGTCATGTCATTTTGACATTTGCTATTGATAATTTGACACATGTTAACAATAAAATAAGATTTTCATAATTTTATGCGGATGAAGTCGCACGGGAACAGCTAGTGTTAGTATAATGTCTCTGAGTAGTAAATGATACTCACAGCTAAGGAAGCGCCGCATATCTCACAGATGTGTCTCTCGCTGGGGGGACAGAAGGAGGTCCCAGGATGCTCCTTCTGATGATGGTTCATACACTCCATTTGGGTGGAAAAATGTTTACCGCACTGGAATAAAAAAAATATACTTTAAAATTAAAAATACAATAAATTTGCAACAAATCAAATAAGATTAAAATAATAAATTTATTTTTTATAAACCTTAATATTATTATAAATACGAAAGTTTGGATGGATGGATATTGATGGATATTTGTAGGAATTTGTACCCTGAATTGCTAAAAGGATAGCGATGATTGTCTTAGATGTATAGGCTGGAAGAACACATAGGCTACTTGGTTGTTTTTTTTTTAATTACGCGCGGAGTCGCGGGCGAAAGCTGGATATCCATACATCTTAACTTTCACATTTATAATATTAATATGAAGTAAGATTGGTCAAATTTTGTACTCAAATGTTTGAAAAACGATGTTTTGTTTGAAACCAGTAGTTATTTTAGGTAAATCTCAATGATTTGTATGTAAACTAGCTGGTGCCCGCGACTTCACTCGATAGAAATCGAACAATAATAAAAAACATAGCCTATATTACTGATAAGGTAGCTTTTTAATGGTTTGAAATGGGCCCAGTAGTTTTTGAATTATTTCAATACTTACAAAAATATAAATCTCTCCTCTTTATAATGTTAGCATAGATATATATTTAAAAAAAAAATATTACTTGATAGCAATCCATTGGTTTCCTACGTCTAGTGAAGGTAAATCTCAGTCGGTTGCAGCGACGCTTCGGAGCCGGTACCTCTTCATTGTCTTCTTTACTGAAAAAAACATACAATAATTAAATAAAAACTGGATATAACTAAATAATTTGTAAAGGATCCCTCTACAGCGCCAATAAAACGTGTTATAGAGGGATTCATACAACATTTATCTAAAATCTGTTCCCATGCAGCTTTATCCGCATGAAATTATGAAAATTTTATTTTATTGTTACATTTGTCAAATTATCAAAAGCAAATCTCAAAATGACTTGACATGACAAACCTTGACAATTTTACCTCCTTAGTGTTGGCAGCAACTTATGGTCTCTTTCCCACATTATTCATCCAAAATATTTACCCCCTAAGTGAAAATATATAGCTTAAGCGTGACGTAAGTGTAGGGCTTTTATTAAATAAAGATTTATTCGAAAATATGCTGTAATTGCTGACATCTTAAGCAACAAAGAAGTGTGTGTTTGCGCTTTATTATAATAGTATATATAACTTACTCGACGTCAGCATGCAGCGCCGAGGACTGCAGGTGCTCCGTGTACGCGGCCGCGGACTCGAACTTGATCTGACATCGCGAACAGAAACTGTCCTCACTGCTGACGTCGCACTCCTGGAACAATAAATACATCGTATCAACTTGACATTCCCTAAGGAGGGTCGGCACAGTATGTGCTCTTCCATATAACTACAAGTCATATCTGAATCCACTCCCTTCTTAAGCATATCCTCTTTCACACATTCCATACTTATTTCGGTCTTCCTTTTCTTTTGTAAGCCATCCACATTCATTCTTAACACTTTCCGGTTTATGTCCCTAACGTCTAACGTCTAACGTCGCATAACATACAATTTATCTTCACTAATATTATAGAGTAAAAATAAGTATTTTTGTATTTTTTTTATAACATAAGGTGGCAAACGAGCAAGCGGCCACCTGAATCCGACAAAATGGCGAAGAGATCGCTGCCCATAGACATCCGCAATTGCAGATGCGTTGCCTACCCTTATCCAACAGAGGAGGAGACGCATATAAAGAGAATATCTCCCTTTCCTATGCATCTCCAACTCCGTCAAATCCACTTTCCCTTCCCATCCTCTCCTTATAAGAAAAGGGTGGTAAAGAGAAAGGGACTTAAATAAGGCCTCCGGCACCACACTCATCAGACTGTACACGGAATTGCTTCCATTTGACGGCTGTCTTCTGTGTGGTCGTGGTATTACTGGGGGCGAGCCCTGCACTGCTAACATGTTAAAGCGGGCACTACCACTGGTTATTTTTGTATGTATTGTAATAACGCAAGCTACAGGGTCGATTTAAAAAAATCTTGTACCTGAAAAAACAATGTTATCACTGAGTAACATGGACTACATTTTTTATTATTTTTTTAATTTCACGCAGACGAAGTCGCGAGCGGCTAGTAATTAAATAAATAGCGCTTAAGTGTTATAAATAAGTATCGTATCGTATCGTATCGTGTGGTTTCGTGTCGTGTCGTGTAGTGTCGTATTATGTCGTGTGATGTCGTGTCATGTGGTGTCGTATCGTGTCGTGTAGTATCGTATCGTATCGTGTTATGTCGTATTGTGTCGTGTCATGTCGTGTGTCTCACCTGTCTACCAACATGCGTGACCCGCTTGTGCTGGTGCAACCCGGCCGCACTAACGAAGGAGGCGCCACATAACGCGCACACATGCCGGCTGCGGTGCGTACGCAAATGCGTGTAGTACGTCGACATGTGCCTACATAAATATTTTAAAAGCGTCAACGAAATGGTCAGTTTTCGATAGTATTCTCAAAACACGAATTAGGATCCTTCAAGAACGTATAACCTCTAAGGCAGCATTTGGCCTTTTCTCTTATAAAAAAGAGAGGTTTAAACACCAAAGTGATCACCAACGCCCATCCAAGGTACCAGAGAACTACAGAAGCGTTGCCATTGCAAAAGTATGCTGGCTTCTTAAAGAACCCTAAATCGTACTGGTTTGGAAAGATTTGCTGAGGTAAGACCATTGTCCAACACAACTGCACAAGTTATTATTAAGTGTGGTGGAGTTCTAATTTTATTTCTTTGAATTATTTTTTTTTTAAGAGTAAGTAGGGGAGGTGTAATTGTCAGAGGAGAGACACAGAAAGGGGAATGTCTTATTTCTATACGTCCTACCTCTGATTAAAGATATCTATAGTGATATTAACGGATATATGATAGCTATATTGAGTCATAGCGAGTCGTTTCGCTATTTTAGCGAATTAATTGGCCTGTTTTGCTACTTTTTTTACATAAAAGACAACATTACACTGTACCATAAATTAACTAACAACTGTAATAAATAGGAACTTTTTTTTGTTTGGATTGACAAGAATTGCATGACAAGTGGCATAAAATGTACCAATTAGGATAGTGGAACCCAACCTTTATATCGCAATAGCGTTTTTTAATGGAAATTGAGATAAAATGAAGAATTATAGGGTTTTATAAGTGATGTTTTCTCACCGGAATTGTTCCCCGCAATGTTTACACGCTCGTGTTACCCCCGCGTGTGTTTCTTCGTGCATTAATGCTGTTGTTCTGAAAATATGTTAAATAACACTCTAGTTCTCTTTCTAGTCTAAGTAGCTCGTCGCATTATTGCTGCTCTAGCTTTGAAATTAAAAAAAAAAACAAAAGTAAGTAGCCTATGTCTTTTTCTAGACCATAATCTACATGTACACCTAATTTCATTGATATCCGTTGAGCTGTTTTGGAGATATCTTGTAACAAACATCCATCCATCTAAACTTTCACTACTCATTACTACTCATTACTAATATTATAAATGCAAAAATTTAGATAGATGTTAGTGTTTGTAGCCTAAACTGCTGAACGGATCTCGGTGAAAGGTAGTGTAGAGTTTAGTCTGGAAGAACACATTAGCTACCTAATTTTGCTTTTTTTTTAATTCCACACGGAGAGTCACTGGCGAAAGCTAGTATATATTAGCAAGATTGTTAGTCAAATTGTGTACCGGTAAGGAAATTAAAATCCTCAACTATAAAAAATACTCACTCAAACGCTACAACGAGATTGCAGACTAAACATTCATACTTGGTGTAGTGTGTACGTATGTGCTTGCGTAGATGACACTCCAGTCTGAAACGGGAGTGGCAGAAACGACACTCGTATGGACCAATCGCCTGAAATACAATAAAATCCATATAAAAATCAAATTACATACTGCGTCCAATCTAAATTGGGTAGACAAAATGGGAATTGGTAGACTCTAAGTCCCTCAGTGAAAAAAAACTAAACAAATAATATGTACATAAGTAGATATAAATAGTAGTACTAGGAACTCATAAATGTAGCATAAGGATTACATAACAAATAAAAAAATAATGCAAATAAACATAAACTATGCAAAAATAGCATGGACCAAGAGTCTGTAAATGTTTTTTTTTTAAATATAAGGTAGCGAACGAGCAAACGACCGTCTGAATCCACCGAAATGGAAAACGACCGCTGCCCATAAACATCCGCAATTGCAGATGTGTTGCCTACCCTTAATTGACAGAGAGGGAGATGCACAAAACGAGGACATTTACTCTTCCAATGCGTCTACTACACTGCCAAATCTACTTTTCCTTCCCATACTTTCCTCTGACGAAAAGGGTAGAAAGTGAAAGGGACTAAAATAGGCCTCTGGCACCACACTCATCAGACGAAACACGGAATTGCTTTTCCTTCACGCCTGTCTTCTGTGTTATTTTACTTTAAAAAAAATCCCTTAGTGGGGTTGTATAGTGAACTATTGATAATATAAAAGGTTTTCTTACCGTATTATGTCGTAATTTAAAATGACGCAACATAATATCTTCTTTCGAGAAGAACTTATAACAATCTTTACAGTTATAAGTTGATTGCACATACTTGGGATCTACTGCTCTTTTCTCAAAATCTCTTATCGCTTCTTCTTCATTCAAACTTATCTTCTTCCATTTATTTGAATCTAAATATCTTTTCCGTCTCGTAAACTTATAATTCTTCTCTTTATTTAATTTTTCTGCCTTCTTTCTCTTTCTGAGACATCTACTGTTTAGATCTTTTTCTGTATCATCTGTATTTTTTTTCTCTACTTCAGGGCACTCGATTTTAAATATTTCAGTCTTTAATATGTCATCTTTAATGAATACTTCTGTCACCTCTTGAGGGAAATCTGATTCACTTGACGTGTCATGTTTAGGTGATGGTACATCTGATCTTGGTGATTCAATTTTTATATTAACTTCGTTGAAATTTAAATCATCATCACTGTTGTTTATTTGATCATCGAATTTATTTTTAATTTCTTCAGGTATTTCATTAAAAAGGTAAGTTTTAACTTTTTTATTAACCATTGCTATAGACAGATTTGTATAGATTTCTTTATTGCTTTTTATACTATTTATAGCTTGATATGTTATCTGTAATGTAAATTGTATAAATTTATTCATGTACTAGCTTTCGCCCGCGACTCTGTCCGCATGGAATTAAAAAACAAAAGAGAATAGCATATGTGTTCTTTCAGACTACCCTCTACATCTATGCCAAATTTCATTGAAATAAGTTCAGATTTTTAGGCTACAAACTCTAACAAACATCCATCCACCCATCTAAACTTTAGCATTTATAATATGAAATACGGTAATATACTGGTTAGAAAAAGAATGGTCTTTAACTATGATAAAAATTTAATTACATCTTTTTAATCTTAATGTTTCAGCATAGAATACATGCAGATAATTAGAATACTAAATGTTTGCTTTTTTAACTTTCTTGAATATATTTTGTGTTTTATGATCTATGTTAAATAATAAATGACTCGCATGAGATTCATACAAAATTTGTAGTAATTCACATATAAATATTTGGATTACTTACTGGTTTTAAAGATTTAAGTTTTCTCAGGCTGTATTGGCACTTCTCTTTAAATTTATGAAACTTGTAGAGTATCATAGCACATTCATAGCAGAAATATCGAGGCAGATTATCCATCTTGACAACCTATATACAAAATAATGCTAGCTTCAGACGTTAATGTACAAAACATTCACCAATTAACCCAAAAGTTGACAAAAAAGCCGAGGTTTCTGTTTAATTGCGTTATCCAATTTTTACTCAAAATTTAATTTGAAATACCTAATTATTCACTAACATTTCTTTTATTATTCTTCTTCTTAGAATTTGTTTAAAAATGTGTATGAAAGTATGAAATCCAACTTACTTTTATTGAAGTGACATTTTCATAGTACATCTTTAATTGAAACTGATCGTGTTCGTACAATTTACCTCCAATCCGAAGACAGATTCGACATATTTTAAGACTGGACATGTTTTATTAGACTTTAGATCTAAACCGTTATGTGTAAAAGTTTCGGTTTTTTTTACAAAATAAAAACATTAAAGTCGATACTTATTGCCGATGATTGATGCTACTGAAATGTCAATGTCACTGTCACAATGGCCTATAATGCCGTGCGTTCCTAATTAGACAGAATTAACAATGTTCTTTGAATTTAAAAATCGTTTTAAACAAAAATAAATACAAAACATTTAAGAATTATACAATTTCGCTTAATTTAATTGAAGAACTCTAAAGTCATTTTTCAACGTTCTTGTAGATTCCCTTTTTCCAACATTAAAAGGTGCATCTCGTTCATTCGTATATAGGTTTGGGGGTAATAAATGCATAAAGTAAACAACAAGTAAGAATACAAACACATTTATTTCTCTTTGGAATAAAAAAAAACATAACCATTCATTTCATCCAGTTTTAAAATCTCATTTAAAACTTATAAAACTGTTTTACACAAATCTCCCAGTTATCAACAGAACATGAAAATTACAAATAAACTTAAATTATGTCTAATAAATTAGTTTTGTACTAAGAAATCTCAACTTTGTTACATAGTATTTGCCAAAAGATGATCCAAGTTGGAAGAAATATGCATGTAGCAACATTGTACAACCAGTTGCCATAAATCTGTAAAATGAATAAAAAGCAAATTTAATTAATCTATAAAAATATTAATTTGTAATATATCAAGAAAAAATTTAAAAAATAAGTTGGGATACCTATTACAATAAATTAAAAAATCTTTCTTTTGCCTATTTTCTAATGAAAAAAATACCAACCATAGAGTCAACAATGGAGAACATGACAGCTTGCATGGCGGCGTCCTTCCCGCGGGAAATCATATTACCCAACCCCTCCTCAGGGAACAACACGCGGCTGTAACTTATCATGGCCAAAGACATAAAGCACAGCGGGTGAAGAAGAAGGCAGATTATACGCTTCACTTGTAGCATTATTGATCTGAAAGTAATAAACATTAGGAGGTATGGACAGTAACAAAACATACCAAAGATACTATGATCCGACACAAATATACTAAAATTAATATGGTAAAACACAAATTTACCAGTTACTTACCGTTTCTTACTGTCAATGACTCCGACGACCAGAGACAATGGGGTATAAACTGTCGCTACCACAAGTCCTAGAGAGAAATTATGCATACCAATAGCAAGACATGCGGTTGATAATTCAATTAAAACCAATATATTCATTAATGTCATTTCTTCTCGTGTTAATGGCCCAGATCTGAACAGTCGTGGTAAAAACGGCGATATAATGGTTATAATAATTGATAATCCAATAAAACCGCAGTAAACAGAGAACTCTGACGGATATTCGAAATACTTCGCACCTGAGAACAATAACGATTAAATACCTAAAATATTTGAAATGACAGGCAGCTAAGAAAATTATGTTAGAAGTTTAAAAAAAAACATGGCGTATTCTGATAGAAATAAAAAAGATAAAAACACTTTATTATTATGATCAGTTGAACAATAATCATTGAGCTCTGCTTCCTGAGCTAGGTGGGGACCTGTATTACAGGAGGTAGTGCCTTCTCTTAGTCTAGGTACATATGTGATCAAATACATGTGTTGGGGTATGTGAGTGTGTTTATGTGTATGCACATTATGTGTGTGAATAATGAAACAAACATTTATTTTAAATGCAAATGTTAAGAATTCCAAACAAAATTGAAGTTTACTATGGCAACTACATTACTAATATTATAAATGCGAATATTTCAATGCGATGTTTGTTAGAGTTTGTAGCCTAAACTGCTGAACGAATCTCGATGAAATTTGGCATAGATGTAGAGCATAGTCTGATATAACATGTAGACAACATATTTTTTTGTTGGACGGGGGTTGGAATCGCCCGGCTAAGGCTAGTTATACATACCAATTTGACTGAAGATTACAGGAGAGTTCATCACCATATATCCCAATAAATGTACCAAAAGATAATTAGCTCCTATATTTACTACGCTAAATCCATCACCTTTCCCTTCATCTTTTGATACTAGATCTTTAACATCATCTTTATCCGATTTCCCGTCACTTTCTAATTTATCCTCTATTTTATCGGATGCTTTGTCCGATTTCTTTTCAATATTCTCCGTTATTCCTGAATTATCTTTTGTATCTTTCTGTGCTGCTTTTGTATCTTTCGGTGCGTCTTTTGTATCTTTTTGTGCTACTTTTGTATCTTTATCTTTTGGCGTATCATTTTGTGCGTCAGTTTCGTCATCTTGTATATTAACCCATAGCGATAATGCTCGTATTAACATAGCAGCACAGAGTAAACAGAGTGATGGCATATATTGTCCTAAAGGAATATTATTAAAGAACAAATTAAAAAAAAATAATTATCGTTAGATTGTGTCATTTTTTATTATATGGTGGAAATTGAATAAATAATGAGTTTAAAAACTGAATTACAGAACTGTGTAATGAAGTTACGTTGTTTTAAGGAAATAAAAAAGTTTAGATATTAACGAATGACATTTTATGTGATGAATGAGCGAGTGAATGAATTTATTGAATGAATGAATCATTCGTATATTTTGATACTTACCGATAGAAATAAATCTATTAGTGGAAGCAAGAAGATAAAAGAAGTAACTTTGGTGAAATCTCTCTAGCAAGTTATTCAACGATCGGATTATACTTTCTAAAGCTGTGCCGAGTTTGTAGAAGCTAGCGGTGGGTATAGAGTTAACTTTGGGCGGAATTCCCGCCGGGTCGTTTGCATCTCTACCTTCTAAAGTCACAGCTTCGATTCCGAAACGATGGAATAATCCGTGATTACCATTTGGTACCTAAAATTAATTAATTTGCATTTATAAATGTTACAGCCAAATATTGAAACGAATTTTAATTCGCTTTGTGAGTCCCTCAATCTCATATATGTCAAAATTTGTAAGGTATTTGTACCCTTTTCTTGTTAGTGTATCTGAGATACATCAGAATCTTTTTTTATTATTTTTTCTAGACACCTTGGGTCATCAAGGTTAAGTGTAAGTTAAGTAAGTTAAGAATATTATTTTGATATTAGAAAAAATAAAATTCTGCCAAGTTAAGGGTGCGTGGATTAAATGATATTTAAGACATTGTTACATATTTACATTAAGTTTCAGTATTCGGCCGTTATTATTCTTATAATTTAACTTAGTAATTTATTGATGGCGTTTACTTTATGAACTAGATCAATGTTTTCTCTTATATAAATAATATTATTTTAATTTAAGTATTTTTTGCATGATTTCTTGTCGTATCTTACCCCAGGGAATTGTGTGTTCACCATACCGAGCATTGTCCAAATACCGTTCACCCATTCGTCCATCTTGTTACGACGAATCCATGAATAACTTAAACCAAACATTTAAACACTTTTAACAATGAAATTCCTCTTAAAAAACTAGTAGTCAAGGAATTAAATTCACTTCCCGTTTAAACAACCATAAGAGGTATAATTTTACACATATGTACAGTCAGAGCCCTTCACGGTGTTCCACTTTCAGATAACATTTTTTGTACCTTGTACTAGGCAAACTTTTTTATAAATCATAAGTTAGCAAAAGAGCAAGGTACTACCTGGATTCGCTGAAATAGCGAAAACCATCCATAGACAACCGCAATTGCAGATGGATTGTCAACTGTTAATCAACGGAGAAGCAGATGCACAAAAGGTGGACATTTCCCCGTTCCTGTGCCCCCTCTTCTATGTCTAAGCCACTTCCCTTTTATATTATTTTCTTACAGATAGGAAAGAGAATATTGGACCTCGGAATTTCCGCCACCTCTTACAGATAAACAATAGATCGATATAATAACGTTCAGATATATTTAAATGAGCCGTCTTAGTTATTCTTTCGCGTCCTCTTAATGCGTACAAAACTTACAAACGACTGTAAATTTCAAAGTTGAATACCGCAAAATTCCCTGATAGTACATGTTGACTTAATTGCATTATGTTACCTGTTCTTATAAGAGTGATGTATCCCAGATTTCACACATAGTTTATGAACTAAATTCACAAGGTCCAGATTAGGTAGTTGTCCGTTTAATCCTTCGATTTTCACCTCTATGTACTCTATAAATAAAAACCACATTTCTTTAACACGAAATTAGTATAACATACAACCCAATACTGATACATTTATAGCGTCTTAAGCAAGGACACAAATAAACTGCAAATTCTATTATGACGTCAGCTTGTAAACGGCTCTTATTTAGCAATGTGTTTAAAAATCGTTTCAGTACTCAGCCGTCAATCACTTATTGTTTAATAATCTATTTAAAGAATGGTCCCTTAGTGCAGTTTTATTAGTAACTACCAAGAAATTAAGAACTCTGAGAGTGGTATATTGAATTGATATTAACATCTGACATATGACGCGAAAGGGTTAAAATTAATTGTTCACACACTTTAGGCTACATATTTTCACGCCATTAAATTTTGGGGGAAATGATTTTGGATAAAAATGCTAATATGGGAGACACATCATAAGTTGCTGCCAACTTCAAGGAAGCAAGATTGCCAAAGTTTGTCATGTCATGTAATTTTGACATTTGCTATTGATAATTTGACAAATGTAAACAATAAAATAAAAACTTAATAATTTTATGCGGATGAAGCCGCACGGGAACAGCTAGTCTATAATAAAAAAACTTACTAAATTTAGGTGAATCAAATTCCAAATTGATAGCCGCCTGTATAGATCCAGATCTGCCTTGCAATTTGCCTGGATTAAGACTTTGTGCCTCTTCACCCCAATCTATAGGCGACGTAAACTTAGCTAGATCTAACAAAGGTAGATCTTGTTTCCAGAAACTTCCTAGACTTGAGTAGAAGTTTCCAGGTTCATTGTTAAGTCCATGGTATGCTTCAAGCCAGGCCTGCATTCCTAGTTGTTCGTATTCTGTCACAAGGAATATTATATCCTTGGCCCAATATTTTTGAGCTGAAACAAATTAGAATTATATTATTGACTAGCTGTTGCTCTCGACTTCGTCCATGTGAAATTTGTAAATATAGCCTACTAACTTTCGCCCGCAACTCCGTCCCCTATGTGTCTCCAAGTAGCCTATGTGTTCTTCCAGACTATCCTCCACATCTATACTGAATTTCATCAAAATCCGTTCAGTCATTTAGGCTACAAACTCTAACAAACATCCATCTATCTGTCCATCCATCCATCTAAACTTTCGCATTTATAATATTAGTATGATGTTACTCAGTGATAACATAGCTTTCTAATGGTGAAAGAATTTATTAAATCGGTCCAGTCGTTTTTGAGACTTTCAATATATGCAAAAATACAAATCTTTCCTCTTTATAGTATTAGTATAGATGCAAAAATTCATTTGGATGAATGGATGAAAGTTACTATAAAAAGTAATTTCTTTGTTTACATCTTATAAGCATTTATTATAAAACAAAATATAACTATATTAGTATAACACAGTGTAAACACACTTCTTTGCTATGTAAGATGTCAGCAATCACAGTATGTTTTTGATATAATCTTTTTTTAATAAGCCCTACACTTACGGCACGCTATAGGCTATATATTTTCACGCTATTTCATTTAGAGAGTAAATAATTTGGAAATAAAAAGAACGGGACAAAATTGTCAAGACAATAACAGCAAATAAACAAGATTGTCATGGTATGATAATTGTTAGCCAATAGTAAAGGCCTTTGTTGTCATAAGCATTGTAATTTTGTTATTTACAATACATTTCTACATAGTCTTACTAATATTATTTACTAATATTATAAATGCGAAAGTTTAGATGGATGGATGGATGGATGGATGGATGGATGAATGGATGGATGTTTCTTAGAGTTTGTAGCCTAAACGGCTGAATCGATTTCGATGAAATTTGGTATGGATGTAGAGGATAGTCTGAAAGAACACATAGGCTACTTTTGTTTTTGCACTTTTGTTTTTTTTAATTCCACGCGGACGGAGTCGCGGGCGAAAGCTAGTATAACCATAAAATAAAGTTTTATTCACACGGGCACAGCTAGTTACTTTACAAGTAATTCTTACGTCTAGCAAATTGTGCGAATGACAACATCAATGCAATCCCAGCTGCGGTTCCCTTCTGATGTGTGGACATGTATCGGAATGGAGCTGATACAACCAATGCTTCAAGGGAAGGGGTTCTTGCAGCTCTTAGTATGCCATACACATTAGTACCTTTGTACACCTGGAATATAAAATATTACTAATATTATAAATGCATAAGTTTAAATAAAAAAAGACTATTAATTTCCCCCAAAGGGGAGGGAGTCAGGGACTGGTGTCCGAGCTAGGATGGGACCCTGTATGATGGATCACCATGATTGTTAGCATATACTGCCTTAATGGCTGAATAGGTCTTGAAATTTGGACGTAATGTATCTGTCTTAAATTTTTCTTTAAGTCGATACAGAGTCACAGGCTGAAACCTAATGTTACATGCTAAGGGTACACACAGATTACATAGAAGTATGGTTCTTAAGTAAATTATAGCTATCACAAAATTTTACTATTTTATGTTTGTAAATATTTTCATAAACTTGTTATTGCAAAAATCATTACTAACTGTTTATATTTAAAAAATACATATATAAGGCCACAAGTATTTTATAAGAAATCATAGGTTTAGTCATGTAATAGATATAAAATTACTTGATTATGTGAAAATAAAGATTTAAAGTACCTGGCCCTGTCCCATTGGATAATTGAGGGTGAAGTTGTGAGTGTAAACTTCTAAATGCAACTGAGACATTTTACCAACTAGCCAGGATACAGGCATTTCACCTGTTTCTTCATACTTTTCCTGAGACAAAAAATAAAATAGTAAAGTTATACTAATATTATATATGTAAAAGCTTAGATGAATGGATGGATATTACAACATATTAAAACATTAGTCATAACATAGTGTGAATTAGTTACGTTAATGAGAAAACTAAAAACAAAATTACTTAAAATTCTACTTCAATTTCAATATTTTTTACCAATAATACACTACAAACCTCCATTTCTTGCAAAAGTTCACTATAGAACCTATTTGCACTTGATTCAGCGTTAAACTCCTTTGCAACTAAACCCGGGAGTAAAGCATTCTCTGAGAAATACGTCTCATTGTTGAAGTCCCGATTTCCAAGCATCAGAAACCATCCAATTGCTCCAATGTAAAACAGAAGACATAGCGGCCCTTGAATTTTTCGAAGGATCTTAACCCATTTCGCCGACCCATACTCCGGGTCTGATAATAACCCCATGTTAACTTAGATAACGTTAGGAGTATGTAAGCTATATTGTTATCCTAAAACATAGTTAACAATTTGGTGTATTCACATAAATCTCTGAAATCATCAATTGATAAACATAAATTCAGAAACAAATTGTAACGTTAAGTGACAGTTGACATTGACAATTACGTTCGGAAATGAGAGCGTGGTTCACACTTGGCCAGTACAGTTGAAGCTCAAAAGTATGACTGGCATTCAACTGGTATAATGTGAGTATAACTAACTGATAACTGTGAGACCATGAAATCCGTACCTTGCATGTTCTACTGCCAATTTGTGAACCGCGCACAATAAAGCTCAAGTTAAAAAAATATTTTAGGGAAATAAACATTAATTTCATTATATCAAGTTTGTTCTCGTTAAATAAAATAGGTTTTAAAACGAAACTTTTGTAGTTTCGAAACATCTTCCAAACTGAAATCACGACACGTTTCACGTGAATGTCTCAGCAATGGGGTAAAATCTTAATTATTTCTGTTAAGAATAGTTAATTATTAAAGAAAGCTATTACTATCTCTAAACACAATCAAATATTTTCAAGTAATTTGCATTTGATAGTACGCAATGTTATTGCGAATATATTTTTTAAATTCTAATATCTTCACATTATAGCTACATCTATGTCATATATCATAACTTTATAATAACAAGCTGTAAATTATTATACGTTATACGTTAATAAATAAGCACTATAATTATTACGGCATATGAGAGTCATAAAATAATAGTTATATAACATCATATCAAAATAAATATGTGAAGGATGAATGCATAAACAAATGATTCATAAAAATAAAAAAAAAAAGAAATTGCAACTCTATTTCTTTTATCCATTCAAAACATACCGATATAATGCATCAACCGTGTCCATTGTTCGTTAGATTTTCTTTTTTAATTCCTTATTGAGCTGCCATTCAAATGTACCTTTTTGATTTATTTTAGTTTCTAACACCATTCTGTGTATTTAACATCTGGATTAAAGATATTTTGTTCACACCATTGACATTTAGTTTGGTGTCCTTACACTAAACATGCAAATGTTTTGTTAATTCATATTTTTATTTTTGAATACCTCAAACATGGGGCATAGGTTTGTTTTAATTAGTTTCTTTACAATTTGTATAGTTATTGTGTACGGTAAATACCACAAACGCGATGATCATTTCGATAGCTTGGAGAGCTCATCGTTAGGGTCTGACAGCACAGAGTTCTTCCCCGAAGGATCTAAAGGGTTTTCGAAAAAAAAAATTAGTGCACATGTAAAAAGTGTTAACGGAACAAGGAGAAGTGGCGCAAAAGGTAAGAACATTTCATCATCATCAACATCCTTATCCTACTCCCGTAGGGTCAGCACAGCAGATTTTTATCCGCCAAATAACTCTATCATACGTCATCTCAGTCATCACTCCCTTTTTGATCATGACACCTTTCACGCAATACATCCATCTCTTTCTAGGTCTACCTCTACCGGTGTACCCTTCCACACCCATAACTAATATTCTCCTTGTAACATGCGATTCACCCCTCCATTTATAATAGTAATTTTACTTTTGGTAAAGTAGTTAGTTTTAGTAAATCTAAATATTGCAATACCAAAGTCAAAGTGACATGCCCTCTTCGTTCTTTTTTCTATCTTTCTCTCTCTCTAGGTCCGGATACAAACCACTATCGTCTTTAGAACATTCTAGTTCAGTAACGTTAAAATATTTTCTGCAGTGAAGAAACGAAGGGCAAAATACGAACGTAAAAGTATAAAAGAAATTCTAAGGTTTATAATTATTTGTTCTATTGTAAAGTACCAATAATTGACATTTTTATACTAATGTCATTGTTAGATTTCCTTTACCTTCTTTAAATCTAATCTATTACAACGATTGCTTGAAACATAATTTTTAAGATGAGCAAAAACTATAAAAAAATTTTACATACAGTATTTTTATTCAACTAGCTGCTGCCCACGACTTCGTCCGCGTGGTATTAAAAAACATACGAAATATAGGAATAACAAAAAGCTACGTATCCCTCGGGAACCGGACATTTCCCGGGGATGAACCTTTTCCCATACGTACTCCAGACTTTGTTTTATATCTGTGCCAAATATCAATAAGATATGTTGAACCGTTGCAGAATGATCGAGTAAACATTAAAAAACTAAATTAATGAATCCCACGGGAACCGTAACTATTCCTGGGATAAAAAGTAGCCTATGTGTTCTTCCAGACTATGCTTTAAACCTGTGCCAAATTTCATGGAGATCCCTTCAGCCGTTTAGGCTGCAAACGCTAACAAACATCTATCCATCCAGCGTAACTTTCGCATTTATAATATTTACGAGTATATATTACGATTTATATGATTGTTGTAATGTTAACAGATAAGAACAAAAAGGGTGAAAAAGCATACAAAGTACGAAGTGGATCGCAAAGATATCCATTCTCAGTATCCGTACAAAGAAAGGGGACCCATTACGCAACCGGAGCCCTAATAGAGAAGAAATGGGTGCTCACCGTCGCGGGAGAATTTTATAAGTAAGACTTTTTTTCATATACTAAACTAAATCTAAATTAAATTAAAAACACCTTTATTCCCTCCTTTTTAAATTAACTTTAATTGTGCCGAATTTCACATTAATCTGCTTGCATTTTTCTTAAAAAGGGCAAAAAAGACGTCGTTTTACGTATTAATATGATAATTTTAAGATTAATGGTTTAGAGCAGGTGTTCACCTTTGACTAAACTATGGCACAACTGTGTGCGATTGTCGATTGTATCGCAGCCTCAACTGTTTAGTTACACAACTAAAAAGTAGTGCGCGCACCTCCATATAAGCTTCTTTAAAACATGATTTGTAAGTTTTCATTATTATTTACAGTGTAAGGGAATCGATAAAATTCTTCAGGGTGAGATTAGGTACGGTGAATTGTAAGAAAGGAGGTGCGTTATTACCTATCAAGGGTGTAGAGATTCACCCAGCTTATTCCTACAAGAAGCCAACGTACGATGTCGCGTTACTCCGTCTAGCAGTTCCAGCTGAATATAACGAGGCTTTGAAAGCGATTCCTTTGAGTAGAATCAAGGGGAAAGTTCTGAGCGCAAAATTCCTGGCAACCTATTGGCCACGGTTAATTGTAAGTATGTAATTTTAAATTTAGAACCTAAAAGTGGGTACTGACGTTACGTGGTGTAATGTTACGAGGTGAATAGCATTTAACACGTTCCGCAACAGGCCGAAATCGGCCTGCCGCTGGTGCGAACGACGAAAATTCATCCCTCTCTCTAATGCAAAACTATTATTTCAGATGTATTCATTACATTACTTAAAATATATAAATTATGTTTCCAATTATTATAGCAAAATCAATCGTAGTGCTGGTGGGTCTAGAAAGACCTGCTACGCACTGGCGGAAACATCATTGGGGGCGCATTTAAGCCCGCCGCCGCACCATATGGAGAATTATGTTTTTACTTGCCGCAGTAAACGTCTTAAGGCGTTGTTGTTCGCTGGTTCGTCGTGTAACACATATAACACCGCATAACGTCGATCAATACGCACTTTTAGATTATTTATTAAAAGCAAACGGAAATAATAATAATGACTTAGACGATGATTAACCCATGTTGATATTTTCCTCGATATTTTAACAATAAAAAAGGAAACTAACCAATAAAACATAAGGCCGGGAGTACACATGCCAGTAGATAGCATACTTGCATGCCAAGTCTCGTCTCATACGATTTTGTTGACATCGCTGGTATATACTGTGCCAGTAGAAGGTACATGAATGCAGTTGGATTGCCTGCTACATCATTGCACTGGCATTATTCCGTATTAACTTGCATTAACTAAACTAGTTAATAACAATAGTATGTATCTAATCATTTTTTTTAATATTAGGTGAGAGGGCAAGTGCTCCCATCATCAGCGCAAGAGCGCGTCCAACCCAATAGCATGCGGGTGTCCACACAAAAGATGATACCTTGGAGCTGGTGTCAGAGTCTCATGTCCACGTTGAACCATACCCTGGATGAGTCCAGTCTATGTCTAGATCCTATCATGTCACATCACAGTTTGTGCCTGGTAAGTTAAACTGATTTCACACTTGAATACAGATTTTGATTGAATATATAACACTCAGAGAACGAACTTACTTTATATTACTGTAAACAAATCGTAAAATCTAAATTCAAATGCTTAAACGATTACGAACGCTTTTGCCATTGGCTAATAATTACCATAGCAATCTTGCTTCTTTGCTGCTATTGACTTGTAGTTTTAGTCCCTTTCCCGCAGGACCATTTTTCTAATTTACTTACCCCCAAAGTTCAATAGCGTGAAAATGTACAGGATATAGCGTGTCGTAAGTATAGGGCTTTGTATTACAAAAAGAATTATTTAAAAGTATACTGTAATCGCTGACATTCTACGTAACTAAAAAGTGTGTGTTTACGCTTTACCTATATCTATACGTTATGAAGGCATTTTTTTTTGGATTTTTGTATGTATTGAAATAACTCAAAAACTACTTGGTCGAATTCAAAAATTCTTTCGCCATTAAAAAGCTACGCCTATACTTTTTTGTTATTTTTTACTTTACTCATACGAAGTCGCGTGCAACAGTTAGTTAATAAAACACCTATATATCGAAATTTTTAGAGAAAATAAACAATACTATTTTAACATGGCGTTTAAACGGTTACACTTACCATAGCCTGACGCGGGGGCGCCAGTGACCGCTGACGATGGACTGTGGGGTATCACATCAGGTTGGACATCAGACAACTGTCTCGGCAACCCCAGCCCTACTATCTTCACGCGGGTCTCCTCGCCAGTCGTGCGGGCCTGGCTAGACTCTCAACTGACCGACGTTTGATAATCTACTAGTATTTCGAGAACATTCTATGGGCTACAATTTAAAGGGATTTTGTTTGTCAATTGTCAAATAATTCGAGTATTTAAACTATTAATTTAAATAAGAAATTATAGTTTACTTGATACTGTGATCACAAAGTACCTACCAATGTAAAATACCTACAAAGAAGTGATTTACTGAAACCTTTGATCAACAAATAATGTTATTATAGTTTGTCTAAATAAGATAGATTAGTTTGATAAATGACGAATATGAAGTATCGAATTCAATTTGTATGAAGGCAAATGCCGTACTTAATAGACAGGTATCGTAGTGACGAAACAAACACGCAGCGAATAATAATGAGCTATCGATATTCGGTAAAAATCATTATCGAACTCAACTAAAATTATTATTTTATTATTAACTAATTTAGAGGACAGTGTAGTGAACATTATAGTGTAGAGAATTTAGCGATGACAGAAATAATAGCGAAATTGAATTACGGTTGTAGTAGTAATAAACATTTTTTACCCTCTTCAATCTATCTTATTTAGACAAACTATACGGCGTTGTAAATGGTATGTTGACTACGTTTAAAAATAAAAAAAAATAACAGCTCACTTTACAAGTGTGCTGTTATTGAGACGAATTTTAAAGTGCCCAAATATCTTTTGTTGAACAAAGCGGGCGCACACCTTTGACTAAACTGTCACACAACTGTGGTGCGATTGTCGATTGTTTCGCAGCCTATTCAACTGTTTCTTGCACAACTGAAAATCGGTGTGCATCTCCATATAAGGTCATAGGAATTAAAACGTGACTAAACAGTTGTGCGATAGTTTAGTCAAAGAGTGCACTTTAAAAATAAGTTTTAGTCTGGTTTTAAATAATGGGGCAGAATATAATGTTCGGGTGTAAAAAAGGGCATATGTTTATAAATTTTTATACACATGAATTTCTATTTTGGTTTTTTATTTTCTTCAGTCTTTCACCCGTCTATCTTCAGTCGCCGAATATGTGGTAGTGCCCGCTTTAACACCTTAGCAGTGCAGGGCCGGCACGCCCCCAGTAATACCACGACCACACAGAAGACAGCCGTCAAATGGAAGAAATTCTGTGTTTCATCTGATGAGTGTGGTGCCGGAGGCCCAATTTTAGTCCCTTTCTCTTTACCACCTTTTTCTTATAAGGTGAGGATGGGAAGAGGAAGTTGATTTGACGGTGGAGGAGATGCATAGGAAGGAGAAATATCCTCTTTATGTGCGTCTCCTTCTCCGTCGGATAAGGGTAGGCAACGCATCTGCAATTACGGATGTCTATGGGCAGCGGTCGCTTCGTCATTTTGGCGGATTCAGGTGGCCGCGTGCTCGTTTACCACCATATCTTATAAAAAAATATAAAGAAGTAACTGAAGGTAAGTTTTTTAGTAAGCAAAGTTATAAGGTAATATTGGTATTAAATATTTATTTATTTATTCATTTATTTATTATTTTTTAAATAATACATAAAACAAAAACTGCAAAGAAAATTTCATGATTTTTATATTTTCTCAATCATAATTATGATTTTTACATCGTACAAATCTTTATTTACATCAATACCAAACATAATACAATGTAAACGTGTTTTTTCACAGTCTTTGGTAATAAATTTAGCTGTAGGTTGCGTAGACAAAAGATTCCCATAGAATAAATGCTTAAACATGTATATAAAAATAAAAAAAGTAATATGACGCAAATGAATTGACAGTTAAAAAATGAATAGCAAAGATTCAATTAAGAGTTAAGTATTAAATATTAAAAGTTACTAAAAGGTTTCAAGCAGTTAGCAACATTAAAAATAACCAAAATAAAAAGGAATTCTATACAGAGATACCGGTAAGAGATAGCAAAATTGGTGGAATCTATACGGTAAGTCAAAATGAAGATAATTTTAAAATAACTTTGACTAATTTAAAGCAATTTGTAATTGTACAAACGCAAATAATCTGTTACATGTTTACTCCTTTTCATAAAAATTTGTAATACAAATTAAAGTCAACACCCCACTCACTAGACAAAGAACTTCATGATCCAAACAGTCGAATAATTTGGCAGAATATTCCTCTAACATTTGAGTATGTCATACCAAATATTCGAAGTAACCGTAAAGAATCGATTAATACAGTGTCTTGGCACATACAAATTGTATTCTCTCATTCAGAGATAGCCAGCATAATCTTTTTCCAAAATTTCATGCATTAAGTCTTTCTTAATCAAAAGAAATCATTCCGTTTATCATCTATTTCTTCCTAAATTCTTCTTCGATCTGTTCGTCGCTCTTCCCTTTTGTTTCTGGTAATAAAATTATTATAACAAAGAAACCTATTATGTTGATACCAGCGAAGCAGAAGAAGGTGGTATATATGCCCAGGGCGGCAGAAATAGGTGCGTACAACATGAGTTGCAAGAAAGTCATAACCCAAGAATGCATAAGCACTAATCCCATTACTTTAGCACGGATCTGGAACAAGAACAATTAAGTAAATACAAACAGCTATCACTGCATTTGAAGTTAAACTTCCTACGTATATATTTAGTTTAAAGAACCTCCTACTAAGGGTCTAAAGCGTGCTGTCTCTTGCTCCCCTGGCGACCTCATTTAGAGTACTCTTAACCGAAGACACCAAGAAAATTAAATATGTCAGAAGTGATTCCAATTTAAATTTGTTAAAAGAATTATTATTACCTGGAAATTGAGCATTTCTGACATGATGATGAAAGGTAACGGAGAAATACCAGCTGCGTAGCCGAAGATCGCACAGACCATAGCCAATACTGGCAACCAGTTAGGTGGACTTATGCCGTTCTCTTGTAGAAGCATGCCACAGCCCATAGTGCCCAAAGAACATGCAGATATTAACAAGCAACCCACCAACAGCGGCTGTAATAAGATAAGCAATTAAAAAAGACTATTGGGACAGTGAAGTGAAAAATTGTATTTGGCGTCACTAGCCGATGATCTAGTCTAGGTCTAAAGAAGCTACTATTAAAATGAGCTTAAGTGATCAACTTCCTTCTTATCCTACTCCTATACGATCGGCGCTGATTTGATGTCATTTTTATAATTTACTTTACATTTTTCGTATCACTAGGAGGGCCTCATTCCTCCTCCAATGAAAGTAAGCAAGCAGTTGTTGTTAAAATTAAAATAAATCTAGGACTTAGGGCTATCGATACATTAATATTAAAAGTACTAACCTTACGTCCGAACCGTTCAACACAACCCATGGACACTAAAGAGCCAATAATCAACATAACAGGAAAGCTCAGGGACTGCAGTTCTGCGCTGATGCTGTACTGGACTCCACTGGACGCAAGAATACTGGAGCCGTAGTTGATGATAGCGTATGTGCCATTGGTAGCGTGGACCGTGATTATGAGAAGGGCCAGGATGATCAGACCCCGCCAGCTCTTGTTCTTGACTAGAAGAAAATAATGCCACATTAAAATGTATTCTATCAATATAATGATATATACAGTAGGACCTCGGTAACTTAAAAAGCTCTATAACTTAAAAAAATAATATGTTCCTTTCCCATCAGAGCCTAAAACCTCTATAACATAAACCCTTGATTTTTGTTTCCCTTGGACTTTAACTTATCACGGTTCTACTGTATTTGTATTTATTAAAAAAACAATTGCTAATGGTTGATTATGTGTATTCCACACTTAGTGACACCCTTAGCCGATTAGATGACTCAGGGTATGTCGTTTAAATTGGTTAAAGTCCTTTTTTCTAGTTCGTATTGTATAACTATTGTGGTTTTATTTTTAATGGATATTCTCTTTCTGATGATTAAATTGTAGTTTTTAGTACCTAAAGTTATAAAATGTCATCACCTATCGTTCTTTCAACGTTTATATGCGTAAATTGCCTTATTATTACAATATTATATTACAAACACTTACATATAGAGATCAGAGAAATCTTAGGAAGTGATTCAAAATATAGCTGTTGCTTTTTCATTATATCGATTTCTCTTTTAACTGATTCGTTGTCGACGTCAAGACCTCTGAGGAAGGCGATGGTCTTCGTCGCTTCCTGAAATAACAGCACTCTTATAGCCGGAACCAACTCGATGGAATAAATCGTGTGCGCTGAACCTAATGTGATCAATATTTATGGTTTAATTTTGTATCGTTGAAATACATATAATTAAGAAAAGTAAAGTGCACCATAAAATAAAACAACTATATGTCTCTTTTTATCCTTCCTTATAAGAAAATGGTGGACGTAGGATGGAGTAAGTGATCTCCGGCTCGCATGCTCGTCAAATGGAACGCACTTCCACTTGACGCGTATCTTCTGTGTCTGGTATTGTACAGATTAGACCACTTCTATAGCATATAATACCTCGTAATCTACCCCACAGTTGCTGTAAGATCATATCATTGGGTACGAATTATATAAAAATCTACACTCACTTCAACATTCCCTTTCTTGATAAGAAAGCTTGGTGATTCAGGCATCGTGATCATTAGAACAATTGTCAATATACTCAGGGATAGTACAATCCAAAGTACTATGAAGTAATCCAGATATGCTCCTATAATATACATGAAGAGTATGCCTAAGTTCTGCGCCATAACAAGTATAGATCCCAAGAGTCCTCTGATGTCATCTTGACTGATCTCTTTCACGTACATCGGGACTACGATAAAGGACCCTCCGGATGCAAGGCCGGCGAATGCTCGTGCTACCACCAAACCCATAGTAGATGGAAACGATAATCTTATAATCCAAGACACCTGAAAAACAGAGAATATTAGTTACTACCGTTCTTCAAAAGGTGACATAGCTTTGAAACGGAATGAAGGTCCCAAATCTAAATTTACAACGGCAAAGATCACGTCAAATAACCATGCATCCCTCTTAATATCTATGGCAAAAACAGGCATAGCTATTTGTTGATAATTAAAAAGATACATCTTGTCAAAGTACACTTTATCGTCATCAACACCACACGACCCCATTGAGGGGCTTGAAACATACCCAAAGTAAGGGGAGACTAGGCGATAGTCAACCACGCTGGCCAAGTACGAGATTCGAACCCAAGACCTGTGGATTACAAGTCAAGTACTCAAACCCCTGAGCCACCGACGCTCTAAGACTCGCATCGCTGAGATTTTAGAGCAGAAAAAAGAGCTTACCGTTTCAAAAGTAGGTACAGCTATGACAGCTAATTTCCTTCCATAAATATCAGCGATGTATGAATAGAACGGCGCGCTGAGCGCAGCAAATACACACATAATGCTGGCCACTAATGACACTTCATTATCTGTTAGTGGTACTCCAATGGGAGATTGATCGGATTGTAGCGTTCTCGTGATAGGCGACATCCAGCCAGTTTCCAATCCGTATAACATTAGGGCAAGGTTTGCTGAAATATAATTATATTTTATAGTTGTAAAAAAAAGTGTGTGTTGTGTAACAGATGAATGGATTGCGTGAAAGGTGACATGATCAAGAAGAGAGTGATGACTGAGATGACGTATGATAGAGTAATGTGGAGGACATAAACCTGTTTCGCCGCTACGGGAGTAGGATAAGGAGGAAGATGATGATGAATTAAAAAAAATCAAACGCTGGGTTTTGTACAGCTCTTTTACATAGCATCAGCGCTTAAAGCTTCGATATTGCTGATTTAAGTCTAAAAACACCGCAGCAAGTGAATACTTGTTAAAAACTAAATAAATAACTTTTTTTTATATTTTACAGTTTAACAAATAGTTAAATGACTTTTATTGTAACAATGTCTTATTGTATATGTTATAAAAACTACACTTAAGGTTCCTTTTAGCGACCAATTAACGACTTATAGAGACGATTCAATTTGCGATTCAGACTCAGAGTCAGTTAAGGGTTTTGAGAATGTATGGATTTTATCTCAAAGAAACCCAGAAAACATGGTAGATTTAATGTGAACAATATAAGGTACCTCTTAGTAATCAATTAACGTTTGATAATACGCCATTAAGTGCGTTAAAAATAATGTTTCACAAAAGTTGTCCTTAAATAAAAAACTAATTACCAGCTAAAGCAAAAATCCATTGCATCCTCGTATTTCCTGAACGTATAACTTGTTTCCTTGTGTCCAACATTTTTAAAAAGATACACACTTCTAAAAAAATTTTAATTTTTTTTTTCTTAAAATACAAATTTTATGGTGAATTGTTTCAAACCGATTTATGTTTAGTCTAGTCTGAGAAATCAAATGTAATGATACGTATGATAACATCGCTTTATATTAGTTGTTTTATACTTACTGTTTATTTGTTGAATACAGTATGTTCATTTTTTCAATAAAAAATATTCACACTGGTTGGCACCACCACACCTTCTGGAAAAAAACATATTTCAAACCACCTTCCAAAAAAGAAGGAGGTAATCAATTCGTCTGTATGTTTTTTTTTTATTTGTGTTACGGCATAACTCCGCCGCTAGTGGACCGATTTTGATAAGTCTTTTTTTTTTTCTTGTTTAATCTATACTAATATAAAGATGGAAGATTTGTATTTTTGTATGTATTGAAAAATAAACGATTTTAAAAACTCTTACACCATTAAAAAGCTACGGCAACAAGGAGTAACATTAGGTATGTTTTTTTTATATTTACGGCGGACGAATTCGCGAGCAACCGCTAGTCTTTAAATAATTAGAGACACAAATTTTTATAACAGAATCTTATACACATTCTTTTTATATTGGTCTTAATTTTTTTTTCATAATATAAGGTGGCAAATAAGCAAGCGGCCACCTGAATCCACCGATATGGTAAGCGACCGCTGCCCATAAGCATCCGCAATTGCAGATGCGTTGTCTACCCTTCATTGACGGAGGAGACGCTCAAAAAGAGGACATTTCCCCTTCCTATGCATCTCCTCCATCGTCAAATCCACTTTTCCTTCCCATCCTTTCCTCTTAAGAAAATGATGGAAAGGGAAGGGGACTAAAATTAGGCCTTAATAAAAAAATAAAATAAACATATCTTGAATTGATTTTTGAGTCTGTTTTGGAACACCCCAAATAATGTAATATTGTGTTATTATTATTTAATTATAGTATGTTTGTTTAAACGTAAAATTACAAGTAGAAATAAATCCTAAACAAACACACAGAGTGACAATCTAAGCTTATTTTATATGTTTAAACAAACGAGCTCGGACATTTTTGGTAAGTAAATAAAACGCGAGTTTACATGCATTAGGTAACTGGAAATTTACTAAGTTTGTAAATACGTAGAAAGTAAAACCGTTGCTATAGTTTTTTTTTAATTAAATGACGCAAATAGGGCGTTCACCTGACGTTTGTGCTGCGTCAAATAAAGACAATGCAGTAATTTGTTAATTTATTACTTATAACTTAGCCCACGACTTCGTCGGGGAGGAGTTGGAAAAAAAAATATTTTAAGTGTGTGTTCTTTCGAACTATGTGCTACATTTGTGTCAAATTTCATAGAGATTGGTTTAACCGTCTCAGAGATAAGTAGCTACAAACATCCATCCATACATGGGCGTCGCCAGGGTCGGTTTTAGCATTATCGGCACCATGAGGGAGATTAACAAGGCGTCCTTTCACTGCAATACAAACTTGAAACCATACTAAGGGTCTGTCCCACCAAATTGTAAATTGTCTAATAACAATCCAACTTGTGAGATGTATAATGGAAATTTCGGATTCCATTCCCTTATCTGACAGTGACGTCATGATTAATCTATCTGAGTCTATCAGCCAGTGGTGGGACCGGCCCTAAGAAACTTAAGGGACGCGCCTGTAGCGCCCTTGGAGCAAAAAATAGCAAGACAAACATTTAAAAAACGATACGTAAGGCGTCTACCCTTTAATAGTCTTTTCAGGTAGGTCCTTTTTCAAATTAGGTCTTTAAAAATGAAGAATTTTCAAACTGGCCACTTTACACCACTAGCGTCGGGCGAATTCTAAATTCAAATTTATGAATGTTTTCTAGTTATTGTTTTTTGAATTTAGTTAATCATTTGTTTTCGCATGGTTGTTTTATTTTTTTTAAGTGCGTTAAAATAACAATTACACGAACTTCGTCTAGTTAAAAAAATTCTTGAAATAGTTACCGCGTCATCTAGTTATGTCTATGTTTAGTGTTACAAGAGCTTTACAGAATTAGCTGTAAGGGATAATGGTAATTTGTATTTCATTTTAAAGGTTATAGCAGTATATAAATGCTCTCGAAAACATAAGGTTACTTGATACTAGATAATATTATAACCTCTAGATGAAATATTTTATACCAGTTGACGTCTAAGAAGGCCTGCACTCCTTTGACTAAACTATCCCACAACTCTTGTGTGATTGTCGATTGTTTCGAAGCCAATTCCACTGTTTAGTTGTTCAACCAAAAATCGAGTAGTGTGAGCACCTCCATATACGCTCATAGGAATCAAAGCGAGACAAAACAATTGTGCGATAGTTTAGTCAAATGTGTGCGAACGCTCTAATACTATAATATAATAATTGTATTATCGACAACTAGGAATACATACATTTTCTCTTCACTACGAATGCATCCATTTTCTCTTCTGTATCTAGGATAAGGCATGAAAACTTCATTTGATCAGTGAAATACCATAACCACACAGAAGGCAGGCGTGAAGTGGGAGCAATTCCGCGTTTCCTCTGATAAGTGTGGTGCCGGAGGCCCAACTTTAGTCCCTTTTTCTTAGGGGACGTGGATTCGACGGTGGTAAAGACGCTTAAGAAGGTGAAACATCCTCTTATGTGCGCCTCCTCCTCCGTCGCTTAAGGCAAGGCAACGCATTCGGTATTGTGTATGTCTATGGGCACTTGTCGCTTCGCCAGGTTGGTGGATTCAGGTGGCCGCTTGCACGTTTGCCACCTTATAATATAAAAAATTATATATTACTATGTAAATATATTACTATGCAGTATTCATTCCAATCGTAACTATATTGATTTTTTTATTTGAAATACAAACAATTGTAAAAAATAATCAACATATAATATTTAAATAATAAATCAGACATGTAAAGCCATAGGAATATAGATAGAGTGAAAATGAACAAACGAATATTACTCAGTCGTAAACAAACTAAACAACCGGCAGACTGTTTTGTAAAGACTAACAAACAGTTGACTTATTATATTAGTAAATTAATATGGAATATACCGTTCGGATTCTAACTTCCGATCTTATGTGTAGGAGACCTAATTTTAGTTCTTTTCCCTTTTTAAAACAGGGAAATCCCTTTCCACGTTAAATCCATTTCTTCTCCTCTTCTCTGCGTCTCCCTCCTGTTGATTAAAGGTAGACATATCTACAAATGACGATTAATGGACATCGTTTCACTATTTTAGCGATTGTTGGTGGCAGTTTGTAATTTATCATTTCATAATAATAAAAAAAATTAACTACTTTAAATAAATCTTCTTTTTTTTCTTTTGATTCTTTATAGTTTTCTTTATCTTTGAATTATATACTTTTATAACTATAAATAAAAACTTGTCATTGGCCTTACTATACATAATACTCAACGTTTAAGTGTTTTATATATGTACGCTGTTGGTTTTTTTTAAATAAATAAATAAATAAATAAATAAATAAATAAATAAATAAATAAATAAATGTTTGCTATTATTTATTTCGTTTTATAGTATAACTTTGTAATTTTAGATAACATGGCAAATCAACGTCATTTGCGATCTGTAGTGCTTTCTCCCGCATCCTTTTACACCCCGTTCCAACTATAATTGTGTACCGTGCAGCGACGCTTTAGTAAAACTTCTTTTTAATGTGCGTTAAAAATACTCCATATGTCTTAGTAGAAATCTTTACAGCAGTGTATGATTAATTAAAATTGCCTAGTTACACTCTTTACCCATTACCAACAAATTTTTCCTTCGTAATATAGACTTAACTAATTCTAACATTGCATATACCAATATTTATACACGTTGAAGTTATGTAAATTAATAAATATAATTAGTACGTAAATGTAAGTAGAAACGGATGCTTAGAGACAACCGTTTTGATAAGAGACGCATATTATTAAGTAAATAACCATCTTGTGATATCATTGATAACTAACGCCGCATAATCTATGTTATATATCATACTTTTAATATTATTTTATCATCTGCATGACTCTTACCATCATCACAAGCTATAAGTCTCCACTGAGGGGCTCGGAGCCTACCCTAAGGCCTTAGAGAACCACGCTGCACTGCGGGTTAACTATGTACTTCACACATATCGTTGAATTTCTTTACCGAAGTGTGCAGTTATCACGATGTTTTATTTCACCGTAAGAACGTCGAGTAAATTATGTAGCGGGAATGTAGCGGGATTCGAACCCAGGACCTTACCTTACCTAAGGATGAATTACAAGTCAAGTGCTCAAACAACTGAGCCACCGACCTTTTACTAGGGTCGATATTACGACCTTTTTAATATAATACGACTAACTCAAACTGCCGTTTCAAACTTAACCTCTTTCACGCATAACTATATTTTTTCTATATTTTCATTTTATTTGTAAAGTAGACGTCGCTAGCCAATGGTTTAAGGCTAGATCTAGCCGTGGCTACCAATATTCTGGTCATATTCGAAATATTTTTAATGTTTTCAGTTCTCTAAGGGTGGTCATGTTTAATTGCCTTATTATTTTTCATTACGTTCTTCAGTTATGATATGAATGATTTAAAAAAACAACAAATTATTTTTCAATAAAAATTGTATTTAAAAACATTTCCTAGCGAATTTCTTTTTGATTTCAACTTCTATCTCTTCGTCGTTCTTTCCTTTTGTCTCTGGTAGTAAGAAGAGAGACACGAAGAAACCAAAGAGATTGAGTCCGGCGAAGAAGAAGAAAGTGGAGTGATATCCTAAATACATAGATATCTGACTGTAGAGGATAAGTTGCATGAAATTCATAAACCAAGAGTATGTAACCACCAGACCCATCACCTTCGCACGAATCTGAAAGAAGATGGATTGAAATTAGAACAAAATTAACGGCTTAACTCTGCATGAGTATACGATGTGGGCGCCGAGTAGATTCACACAAGTCGGGGTCCATCTTCAAGTCGAGGTGAGTTAAGCTGTCTTTAGCTAAATCTTATTTGATAATGTTCATGAAAGTTATCTATAATTTCGGAATCCTTTCCTACTCTAAATTCACTTAAAACAACCGATTGCTTGAGTTGCTATGCATACTAGTTTTTTAAATCTTGCAAATTTTATAAATGCGAAAGTTTAGATGGATTGATGGATGTTTGTTAGAGTTTGTAGCCTAAACGACTGAACAGATCTAGATGAAATTTGGCAAAGACGTAGAGGATAGTCTGGAAGAACACATATGCTACTCACTTTCGTTTTTTTTTAATACCAGGCGGATAGAGTCGCGGGCAACATCTAGTCAATAAATAAAATGTAAATAACACGGACAAAAACGGAAATGTGTCACGTCACTTCCATTACACGAAATAACGAAGAACGTAACTAAATTAAAATCACGTTATAATTGCTGACACAGCAAAACGACTTACTTATCACTTATTCTCCTCAATTAATATTGGAGTCCATATACATTCTTATTTCCAAAAAAAATAAAATAAAACCGATAAAAGGGGTAAAAAAGATACCTGAAAGTTCAATATCTCAGACATTATTATAAAAGGCAAAGGTGAGACACCCGTCGCGTATCCGAAGACGATGCCAACCATGGCTAGGACTGGCAGCCAGCTGGGCGGACTGAAACCGCTGGATTGTAGGAGCAGCGCCACTCCAAGAGCACCCATAGAGCACACGGATAGCATTAAACAGAACCCCATCAGCGGCTATTACAACAGAGACAAATTAGTTGCATAAAATTGTTTCTAGAAAAAAAAAAAACATACAGACGAATTGAGTTCCTCCTTCTTTTGGGAAGTCGGTCAAAAATAATGGAAGTTTGAAGAAAAAAATCTGAATTAATTTTAAATTCGACTGAAGGGAAAAGTGGCGTATACACAAAAATACTATTGTAGTAATTAGGTTCTTTTAATAAAAATCCTCTAATTATACTTCTTACGTTCTTTTTGTAAATATGTGAATGTTTAGATGGTTTTTTGTTAGAGTTTACAGCCTAAACGGCTGAATGAATCTCGATAGAATTTGGCAAAGATATAGAGCATAGTTTGAAAGAACACATGGGCTACTTACTTTTGTTTTTTTTTTAAATCCACATGGGTGTAGTCGTGGACGATAGTTAGTATTAAATATAAATACTTTTTTATACTAATAATTATGTTTATTATGGTGATATCATCACAGACTTTGTAGGTAATAACAAAGTCTAGAAGTCTAGATTGATTCAGACGTTGTATTTTCTAAGCTACAATAAACACTATTGTGTTACTTAAAATGTTTTAAATTCCTTAAAGAGTTTTCTCCGCTAAGTTTATAAATTTTAAATTCCAATGACTTCATAAGTTTTACAACTTTTCACTTGTCAGTAGTGGAAAACATCTTGTTTTGCTTTCTAAAAAGTCGAAGTTTGTGATAGATTTTATTATATAAACTTTTTTATACACCACTAGTTAGCTTTCGCCTGCGACTCCATCCGCATGAAATTAAGACAAATTTTGTTAACAAAAATTTACCTTTCGTCCAAACCTCTCAACTGTGGCCATTAATACCAATGACCCAATAATCATCATGACAGGAAAGCTCAGCGACTGCAGTTCGGGGCTGATGCTGTATGGGATCCCGCTGGCGGCGAGGGTACTAGCGCCATACGTGATGACGGACACCGCGCCATTTGTCGCGTGCACGGTTATTATTAACAGGATGAGAATAACTATCCGACGCCAGTTGCTATTCCGTACTGTGTCGAAAAAAGAAATTGTTACAACCAAAACAGATATAATATATGTAACTAGTTACGCTGTTATGGACGAGATAGTAGGTAGAGTACTGGGTATGCTTTGATTCGATCCTTGCTCGTTTCTTTTCATACTTACATTCTATCTATCCTTAATTTTTATTTTTGTATGTATTGTATACAGCGACACCAACTCTAAAATAGTTGCAAATATATAAGGATCACGTGATTCCAATGCCGGTTTGAGCCCTACTAGCGCTTTAGGCGAGATTTCTACACTACCCACTTGTACAAGCAATCGTCGACATTGTCTATTTATCTCAATTGATTAAAGCCACTTACGTATTGATAATAAAGAAATCTTCGGCACTGATTCATAGTATAACTCTTGTTTCTTCATTGTGTCGATTTCTTTTTGTACAATTTCACTGTCAACTTCCAAACCTCGGAGATTAGCTATCGTCCTTGCAGCTTCCTACAATTGTATCAGAAAATCAGTTAAGGATTTGATTGGATAAAGGAAAATTTAAGATTCTATCTAAAATCCTGCAGTTCTCATTAAAATGTTTAAATGAAGACAGGAATTATCGCTAATTCGTTGTTTTTTTTTTTTCAATATCATAAGGTGGCAAACGAGCAAGTGGCCACCTGAATACGCCAAAATGACGAAGCGACCGTTGCTCATAGACATTCGCAATAGCGGATGCGTTACCTACCCTTAATTGACGTTGAAGGAAACGCACATAAAGAGAATATTTCCCTTTCCTATTCATCTACTTCATCGTCAGATCCAAATTCCCTTCCTTTTCTTATAAGAGAAAGAATGGGAAGGAAAATGGATTAAAGTTGGGCCGTCAGCACCACATTCATCAGACAAAACGCGGGATTGCCACTTCACGCCTGTCTTCTGTGTGGTCGTGGTATTGTACCGAGCGAGTCTACCTATTCGTGCGAAGATGTTAAGCGGGCTCTACCACTGTTTTAAGAAGTAAAGTTCAATTAAACGATAAAGAAACAAACTACAGTATTCGACTAACCTCAACTTTACCTTTCTTTACTAGAAACGCTGGTGATTCAGGCGCTTTCAACATCAAAACAATTACGAACAACGACATTGATAGCGCTATCCAAAGAACTGTGAAGTAATCAAGAAACGTTCCCATGGTATACATAAGTAAAACTCCTAAATTCTGCGCCATAATAAGCAAGGATCCGAGAAGACCACGGATATTATCCTGACTGATCTCTTTCACGTATATGGGGATGACGAGAAAGCAACCGGATGCTCCGATACCTGAGAACGCTCTTGCGACGATTAAACCGACGCTTGTCGGTGATGAAAGTTTGATGATCCATGATAACTGCAATAAAGCACAACTTAGTTATCATAATAATAAATGCAAAAGTTTCGATGGATGTTTGTCAGCGTTTGTTGCCTAAATGGTTGAACGGATTTCGATTAAATTTGGTATAGATGCAGAGCATATATAGTCTGGAAGAATAAATTTCACGCTAACGGAGTCGCGGGCGAAAGCTAGTATTATAAATGCGAAAGATTAGATGGTTGTTTGTTAGAGTTTGAAGCCTAAACGGCTTAACGGATCTCGTTGAAATTTGGTATAGAGGATAGTCTAGAAGAACACATAAGCTACTTACTTTTGATTTTTAATTCCACGCGAACGGAGTCGCGGGTGAAAGCTAGCTAATCTATAAATATCTTAACATATCCTAGTGTTGGTCTAGAATTATTTCATACGTTATTTTTAGTTAAATTAAGCGAGTTATCATCAGGATGTAATCTTAATGAGCAGTGAAAAGAACATTTTGGACATATCAGTATTAGTGCCTAATTCCACTTAAGTTCACTACACACATTCAGTTCTAACTAAAGAACTAAGCAGTTCAAATTTTGCTTAAACACGTTATAAATGAACACCTCATCTGTTAGAACTAAGCATATGTAGAAGGGTAGATGTTAAACATCTAGCCGGCCATAAGCGAACGTGCCAGTGGAAACAGTAAATATTCGTTGCACGGCCACAGTCACGTTTTGTTGCCATGTGGAAAATATTTAATACTTACCCCTTCGAACGCAGTAACACACATTGCTGCAGGTTGCCGACCGAAACGGTCGGAGATGTATGTATAAAAAGGCACACTTAATGTAGCAGTCATGAATAGAATGCTCGCCACCAAAGAGATCGCATTATCAGATAGAGGTGCTCCGATCGGTGACTGATCAGATTGCAAGACTCTAGTCATAGGTGACATCCAGCCTGTTTCTAAGCCATATATCAGCAAAGTGGAATTCGCTGAAAATTTTAACGTTAAACTTTAGACGTCAATGTCAACACTTAACTTTTAATTTATTTCTTCTAAGCTGGGAGCAAAATAATTAGTTCAAGGTCTACAATACATAGTAACTAATGGCCTGACAGACGATGGTGAATGTGAATCATAAAGGGTGTTTATTTATTTGTTTGCCAAAATGCAATGCGTTGCTCTGAATAGATGGAGGGGGAAACGCACATAAAGATGATATTTCCCCTTCCTATGCGTCTCCAGCATCAAGTTCCACATTCCCTCCCCATCCTCTTCTTATAAGAAAAAGGGTGGAAAGGAAATTGACTAAAGTGGAGTCTCCCGCAACATGTTTTGAACCGCTGTCAACTTTCACGATATCAACGTGCGGACAACACGTTGACAATGGTTGGATTTTACGGTAATAGTCAACACATTGTCCAAGTTATCGAAAAGTAAAAAATTTAGGGTATAAATGTGATATCGCTATCTCTGTTTTACTCTTAAAAGTGAGTGAGATGAATGATACATTCATAATTATGTTCGTAATTTACCTATTAAAGCCCATATCCATTGCACTCTTGTATGTCCTACACGTTCAACAGACTGCTCTATTTTTTCTAACATTTTTACACAAAATAAAAACACTCTGTATTCTAACTAAATCAGTCTTAAAAAATATTAAAAAAACTTAATAGCAAAATTTCATCGTACTCATAACTTCTATAATTTCGCGTTAACTATTTTGTAACAATTGAAACAACCACCATACACGAGATAACAATCTTTTATAATCATAATATTTGTTATTTATTATATACAGGATGTTGTATTTTAAGAGATAAAATTGCATAATTAACCTTATAAAGCAAATAGGTCGCGATAAGAAATCACAAAAACAATTTACTTAGTCAAATTATTTATAGTCCTGACTTAACAGTTAAATTCGACATTTTTATAGAAATATGTCAAGTCATTCATTAGTAAAATGATAGTTACTATGTGGCCCTCTTCATTGTGACCATTTAACTACTCTGCAACATTTAGAGAGCCTTACCACCCTTTACATAGAAGAGTTGCATAGGTTACATTATTATTTGCTTTAAGTTAAGAAAATAAAGAAATTAGCTATGAGGTATACTCCATCTTAGACAAAATTCAAAACTTAAAAAAACATAGTATCTATTATTTACGTCATAATAGTAGATTCAATACTTACTAGTTACGGAAAATTTTGTAAAACTACACACGTATTTATCAAACAAAATATAATCTACATATGTTACTCACTGAAGTAAAGGATTTTTTTTAAATTGGTTTAGTAGTTTTTGCAGTTATAGTCAATACGTACAAAAATCTAACAATCTAAAATTCAAACCATACCTCCTTAAGTAAGAATAACAGTAGTAAAGTTGAAATGGTTAAGGGTGTTCAGAATACACAAGTCTGGCGCCCCAAATGTTTCATGCGGTACGTTCATTGGCTGGCGCCTCACACGGGTCGGCGCCCGGGCGCCCCTCACCGCTAAACTCCCGGTTTATAACTGCCCCAGTTTGAGGTAACATGAAATTTTCTTACGATCATCCTATAATTATTGTATAACACCCCACATTTACATGATATGAAATCAGTCGACGAGTACTTACTTCGAATGGAAAATTTTCTCGACAGAGCGAGAAAAACGAAATCACTTGAGCTTACATTTTGTTATTTTAATGCTGACGCAATGCCAGATTCTTGTATCACGAATCGGAGAGCTGAAATATTCGTTACTAAATTAAAATGTACTCACAAAACCTTCGATTGAAAAGATGGATTTGAAAAAAAAAAGACCTTTTATCTCTAAGAGATCGTTAGATTAAATGCAAAATTGGTTAAAGCCATTCTGTTATGCGTTTAAATAAAGGCCTGAATGTCAAGCTATATAATCACGTAAAGGTCATGAACTTATGACATCGTAATATTCCGCGTAATTTTAAAAGGACAGATCAAAAACCTTTACGCGATGCGAAATCAAAATCTCATCATCATCGTCATCTGTCTCCTTATCCTACTCCTGTAGGGTCGGCGCAACAATGTTCTGTCCTCCTCATAACTCTATCATACGTCATCTCAGTTATCAATCCCTTTTTGAACATGATTTCAAAATATCCGTTACGAAAACATGTGCGCATATATTTTATCAACTTGCCCTTGTCCCTACGGAGGGTTGGCACAGTATGCTGCCCTTTCATACATTTGTATTGTTAGGAACAAAATTAGTACCGTGCTGTAGAGTTGGAGCAACTCTAGATTATCGGCATAAACGTCACCTCCCTAGCTGACAGCTGTCAATGTCACTAGAAGTATGGATAGATTGGCGCGTAACTTGAGTTTTGACGAGAAGTATTGCTCTGAATAAAAAGCGACAGTATCAATTAAATAAGTCGTCTAATAGTATTAACCCATCCTTTCTTGAGCATATCCTCTATTCACATAAATTTATTGATACTAAAATAACCATTGCATAATTATGGAGGATTAGATGTATCTGCGATGTATTCATCGGAACATCTGAATTTCTAAATGAATAAAGCCAAGGGCAACGTGTTGTATATCATCATCAACTTGCCCTTATCCCTTACGGAGGGTCGGCACAGTGTGTGCTGCTGTTCCATACATCTCTATCAGTCGTCATATCTGAATCTAATCCTTTCTTAAGCGTATCCTCTTTCACACTATCCATCTATACTTTATTCGGTCGTCCTCTTCCTTTGTAGCCATTCACATTCAATTAACACTTTCTGGTTTATGTCCCCATCGTCTCGTCGCATATCATGTCCAACGGAGCAACGCCTTGTATATATGTATAGGCATGAAAACAAATATTGAATTAAAAATGTAACAGATAAAAAATATTCGGATCAAAACAAATAACACCATTGAATCCTTTTAAAATCGCCAAACAAATAATTGAAACGCGTAAAATGTAAACACGATTTTTAGAACACCAAACATCGTATCGTGATTATTCTAAATTTAGTTTATAACTGTAATAACGCAATTTTTGACGTCAAACACAAATCCGTACAAATATATGTGACAGGTTGATTTTGAGAAAGATATATTTTTTTCTGGTTAAACATTATAATTGTTTGAACTTCTTTAGTTGTTTAAACATTGGCCCTGTTTACTTTTATATAGATCTAGTGGTTATGCAAAATTTCGTAAGTTCACGGCTGTTGCGAAAATTTGTGGAATAGATTTTTTTAGGTTATATTTTAAATTTCACGATTTTTTCTTATTTAGCTCTTCTCAACTCCGTGGATTCTTGATTGTAAAAAAATTGAAAATGTAGACAACATTATTTTTAATTTCATGTCATTTTCAGGACATTTTTTTCGATACTAGGTTTCCTAGTCTAGGTTTCTGATATACAACAGTTCTAATACTACTTTCTTAGTTAAGAATAGTCTTATTATAATCCAAAACACATTACAAATTATAATAAAACTTACAATCATTATTTTGTTAATAAATTCAACAACAGATAATCACCCTGTATGTTGACATGTCAAGTCTCGTGAGCGGACGGAAATAGTACACAAATAAAGGGGCTTACTACGTGAATTATTTATTACATACGACTCGATTGAGTAAATGTCATATTAATGTGTAAATATACAATAAACTTTACTATCTTGCGACGAATATTTTCCACTCCGATACTGTTCTTGGTAACTAATGTAAATCTAACTTCTATTAAACACTATTTAAAAGTAGATTTCGTTTAATTAGTCGATACTCTTCCTTCTAAGCTAATTTCTTAATGCTCGAAAGAGATAGCAAACATGAAGTAGTGACCAAAACAAATGTTAAAGATTCTCAGAGAATTACTTTGCTCATTTTAAATGATAAATTAAAATTAACAATTGTATTCTTATCAAAGATCGATATAATAAATTGATTTTTTTTCATACTAGTAACTTGATTACTCTAGTAATTTAACAACGAAAATTAACTAAAAACATAGATCGTATTAGATATTGAAGCATGATTTATCTTTACGACTAGCTTCCGCCAGCGACTTCGTCCGCGTGGAATAAAAAAAGAAAACTGAGTAGCCTATGTCAGTCAGATTATCCTCTACATCTATACCAAATTTCATCAAAAACAATTCAGCCGTTCAGGCTACAAACACAAACATCCATCTAAACTTTCGCATTTATAATATTACTAGCTTTCGCCCGCGACTCCGTCCGCGTGGAATATAAAAAAAAAGAAAAGTAAGTAGCCAAATTTATATCCGTTCAGCCGGTTAGGCTACCAACTCTTACAAACATCTGTCCATCTAAACTTTCACATTTATAATATTAGTATGATTAAAAACGCAATAAAAACAAAACATTTCATTCAAAAGTCTCATCATTACGTTTATAATATTAGTAATATTACCGGGAAATAGAATAATGCACCTGGCGATCTACGTCTATGAGTAAGAAATCTCATACTGTGTACAATACACGATGGTGTTTAAAAAAACTAGAAGAAACTATAACTAACTTTATTATACCTGACCATTGTTTCTTGTACAAACATCGTATTGCGTAAAACTGCAGATGCAATTGCTCCGCTACCAAGCTTATCGTTCAAACGGGAATTTTTTTACATTTAATATGTAAAATATAAAATAAAATGGATCCTCGGTTTAGATTAGTTGTGTTCTTTATAGTTTATTTTTATAACACTTATTTGGAAGTTGAAACAGGTAAGTGAATTGTGTCTTACTTTCGTCCGTGATTCCGTCCTCGTGAAATTAAAAAATAATATAAAACATACCTTATGTTACTTACTGACAACTTAGCTCTTTAATGGTAAAAGAATTTTAAAAATCGTACCCAGTTTTCGGTCCGGAATCGGTTTTTAACTTATTTAATTAGAATCAAAGTTTTTCTCTTTACAACATTACAGATTTCTACTTAATAAAATATTTGGATAAAAATTTAAACAGTCAAGTATCAAAAAGTGTATTTAATTCTTATTATTTTAAATAGTTTCAGTATATTGAATCGATAGATTTTGTGGTTCCGATTGACGCACTAAAAATTTTCTTCTCGTGAATAGCTATTAATTAATACTTTTAATATGAATTGATTTAGTTACATAGTTCTTGGTTAAAAAAAAAACAAAAGAAAAACTTAACTAGTTAAATTGGAAATGACGAGCTCTTTGTATAAATATAAGAAAAAAGGCGAACGGATGTGATGGTCACTGACGTCACAGAAGCCAGTCGCGTTTGAAAAGCACAAAAATTTACAATTTTTGTTTTTTTTTCTGGTTATCTTATAACTGAAACAAAAGTGACATGTATATATATTCTATTATTCTTCACAGCATCGACACTAAAAGCGGATTTAGAATGCGAATTCCCGCCAAAAATGGAGGAAGATCTAACACATGTGAGAAGAAAAAGATTAACAACGGAAACAGGACTTGTCTGCCTAGAAGATTATCCGTACACAGTATCAATAAGGTTCTAGAATTTTCTTTCTACTTTCTTTTTAATAATAATTCAAGAGTAATATTGCGGATTATTGAGCCAAAAGGCTCGCTTCCATGAAAGTCATTATTTTTTTAAAAGAAGATTTGCGGCGATATCATGAGTACGATGTTGTCCACCCTTATGCCTCCATTTATAATACGGAATTATGTACCAGTATTAACATTTACATATTTAAAAGCAAAGGAGGGTAAACCGCTCCCCGTTTACATTATTCCAGTCCAATTATCGAAGACAGGGGAAGAAAACAACTTTCAAAGTGGAACCCACACTACATTTCAGTAAAATTTTGGATTTTTTTACTGAACCAGCGCTGTATTCGATCGCTGTACTGGAATAATGTAAACTAGGCATAACAATCTTGTTTCATTGCTTGCGAAACTTCTAAAAATCCTTACAGTGACTTTGTTTATAAACATTGCTTGTTAACTTTGTCGACTTTCAATTGTCTTGTTAGGTAATTTCGCAAATGTTTGAACTTCAGATAACAACAGTGTACTTAAGTATGAATAAAACAATGTACTTACGTTTAGGTTAGACGGCGATAAATGCTATGGAATGCCTTTTTTTTAGACATAATATTTTAGATGAATTCATGTACCAAATGAACCTTATGCTTCGTTTAGTATAGTCAGACAGTAGCACAGGTCTGGCATAGACTGTATGCTGATGAAGCCAGTTAGTGTTAACATTAGGCCAGTTGTAAACCAGCGCTAATTTGGACCGCTATTCGCCCCCTTTACCGGCATAATGTAAACACCGTCAAATTCCATTCCAAAAAAAGTAACTATAAATCAGTGTAATAGACGCCCTATTACACTGATTTATAGTTACTTTTTTTTTAATTTTGACAGCTAATGGTTAAGCGAAACAGGTCTTTTCTGAAATTATTTAACGTAAATTTAGCAAAAGCATTGTTGATAATATTTATATTTTAGTTTGGATCAATGTGTTTTACTTTTTCTTTTTACTAATATAAATGAGAAAGTTTAGATGTACGGATGGATGTTTGTTAAAGGGTATCTCTAGACTACTCAACCAATCTCACTGAAGGCACACAAACTTGTTTTTTTTTTTTAATTCCGCAAGAATTCCGCGAGCGAAAACTGTTTCCATAACGTAAACACAGTAGGAGCTTCTGCTCTATAACCTATGACCGATGGTAGTGCCAGTATAGTATTTTATTATCTGTGGTAATAGCTAAGAAGAAAAAGAAGA